AATAGGGTTTGCGTTCGCGAACATAGAGTCTGCCAATGAGTTCGAAGAGCAGAGATCCAACTTCTTTGAAGACAATGAGAGATATGATGACTACTTAGAGATGAGAGAAGGCCTGGACTTAGTCGGAGCTAATTTTCAGGAATACATGGTATCGCACGCTAACAGCGATCGGCAGCCCTGGTATATATCACATCTTGCCTTTTGGTTATTTTCCTTATTACTACTTTCCTGGCCTTTTCGTGTACTCATTGAATACCAAACATCTTACGTTCACTTCCAAGTAATTGTTATCTCTATTTCTTATGACTTAATGTTTGCCAACCCTTACGGGCGTAATAACGATAGAAACGAAAGAAACATAACCCTATGTTTTTCTATTTGTATTAACTTTTAAGGTAATTAAACTGTTTGGCGAACACTATATGAGTTCGTGCAATGATTTGAGCCGTCTGTCGAGGGACACAACCATTGACAGCATTGAACTGACCAACAACTATACGATGGCTCCGAGCTATTCAGAGGCTGTCCTTAGAACCGATAATAGCGTTAATATAGGAAATGAGTTCAATTCAAATCAATTAAATGCCGACAAATCTAATGATACAGTGATTAACAGAACGGCTAATAGATTGAGAACATCGTTGAGCCGAACGTCGTTAAGAAACGGACAAATTGTATATTTTGTTTCACCAATTAATGGCGATCTCCAAAACACAGTCATCAGAAGGTTATCATTGATCGACTCGGAAACGGTGGCCGACGTCGAGACGACCGACAATCCGCCCACTTATGAGGAGGTGCTCCTCGAGAGCCATCCATTGCCGCCACAAACGCATCGCTTTATATTGAATCCAATGAGACGTTCGGTCACCGATCGGGACTTTTTCAGACGTCTCTCCAATCATTTCCGTCGGCAGTGGAACAGCTATATTGACATTCATGTGAACGCAAATGAGACACAGCTTTGACTCAATTTCTAAATATTTATATCAAAATTATAGATAAGATCTCATTATACTATACATTATATATACTGTATATATATTATTATAGATCTATATATCATTTTATTAAATATTATTGTATTCAAGAAAATACAAATTTTCATTAAATATATTAAAGATGTTATGAATTTGTCTTTTTTCGAGATTATAGTTTGTGTTTGAAAATTATTGAATAAAAAAGCTTTAAATAATTTCGTTTATTAAATTTAAATTAAATATAAAACAATTTATTAAATTATAAAATATATGGATAACTAAAAGTTTTAATTGACTGCGAATATCAATAATAAATAAAATTAAATGTATTTAGTTTTAAATACAATGGGAGCCAAACCGTTACCACGCGTTTCGGCTTTAAATATCATCGATTCGTGACACTTATAACTCTGTCCGACAATTAGAAATAATTTATTCTCCGCTAAAACTGGTGTCACAGCTCTGGCGCTCTTTGCGGTCAACGTCCAGCTCTGTGTAAAACCCGATTCACCCGTTTGTTTCCAAATCACTATATTTTCGGTGTTAAATGCAATTAAGTATTGATGTGCCGAATAGACTGTGCCGTAAGTGAAGGCAGACAATTGGATCGCGTTATCGAAAGTATAGCAAACTTTGTTTCTCTTCGGTGTCAACAAAGAATACCTTAGTCAAGACATATATATTTACGAAACGGCTGGGAAACTACTGTACTGTCGTCTATAAGGCAGTGACTAACGGTTTATCAGAAATCCATAGTTTTCAAAGTGGACGACATCTCCGACATTGAGTACAGGAATGGTTTGAATTAATTCCAATGTCCGGTAGTTTCTTAGGATAAGTATCAAAGTGCCGGTGTTGTCAGTCATGCAATTCAGTCCATACTGTTTGGCTACCACTACATACACCTGGTTTTGACGCATAAACGCCACCACTTTTGAAGTGCCTATAAATATATAAATGAATTTTGTATATTTAAAAACAAAGAATAAGATTAATCAATGAATGACATACCGGTTCCCACATTAGATTCGGTCACTTGACTAAACTTATACTTGTTGTGTGAATCAGTCTCCAGTGAGTGAACCAATAGTTTTCCAGTTGTTGTTTGATATGAAATTAAGAAAACAATTGTTGGACTTAAGCTGAAAACTTCAATATAGCTAATAGAGGAACCGATCGGTGCGACCATTTGATCAGATTTGGAGATATAAGCAGAAAAGTTGTAAGAATAAGGACTCATGTGAACGACAAATTCTTCCCCATTTAATACAAATGTCTTATGAATTAAATCATTATATTGTTTGAGTGCCGTTGACTCAAAATCTTCAGATTTAGGATTATATCTAATTGAGTAAACTGTCGGTCGATTTCCTATTGTATCACTTATTGTATATGTGTTATCGTTAAAGACATTAATACGATTTCCATGGATTTCGTCCAGATTTTGATATAAAATAAAGAAATCAATTTTAAACAACGATTTCTCTAACGAGTCAAACATATAATGAGTGATATATTCGTGTCGATTAGTTTTGAAGACAAGTAATTTCTGCGAAATATTGACACGACTTGTGAAACCGTATACTCTTAAGGCAAGTGCGCTCAGGTCTACATTGTCAACGTGATGGGCCACCAGAACATCACCTCTGAATACAATAGTTTCAAATTTAATTGGATGCGAAAGGACTTGAGGTTTGTCTCTAAGAAGGGATTCTGTCGCCAATTTATGGAGATTCTGTCCGCTTAAGGAACCGCTCGCCACAAGTTTTCGGTCAACAGTTAGCGGCTCATTGAATGTCAATACAGACCACACATTCTGATCGCCGTTTAAAGTGATAAAGTCTTCGGGAATTCTCTTTCCATTAAGAAAAGCGATATAATTATAAGGAGACGAGAGTTCCACTAAACCTATCGCTATCTTATGGCCTCTAATACTTTGGTTATTAGTCGTGAAAAATGTGTTCATTTCTATAGTTTTCAGTGGATAGCCATTGACTAAACCATTGATGACAGCGTTATCGTTAAGAAAACAATTTATAATTATATTGTAGTTTTGTTTGAATGAAAGAGCAATAAATACTGTGTAATACAACTTAATATGAGAGAGAGAGAGAGAGAGAGAGAGAGAGAGAGCAAAGTTATGTATGACATAACTTATGTCCGCATTTCTGGTATTTGAGTCGAAATTAAATTATATTTTAATTTAGAGAAAATATTTTCAGAGATTCTCTAATCAAATGACACGATATATACAGTACTGTATATATCATAGGAAAGAAAAACTAAAGCAACAAATTTTTAGAAAACATTTTTATTAAAAATATTTGTTGTGCCCATAATTGAGATGATAAACAGTGAAATTGTTTGATATGAGAGGACAGGGATGTGCTGTGCGTTTGTGTGTTTCATAGGGATGTCTTACGGGAAACTCATTTATTAGGTTCACATATGAATGAAATGAAAATTTTTGTATAAGCCTTAGGACAGAGAGATGGATGAAAATAAACGCCAACATATAGCTCTCTCTCTCTCTCTCTCTCTCTCTCTCTCTCTCTCTCTCTCTTAATTGAGTTCTTCTTATAATTAAGTTTATTATAAAAAAGAGAAAAAATGAAATTTATTAAATATATGAGAGACACATGAGTTTGTAATAATAATAACAATATTACTTATAATGAATTAATCTACGAAAGAATTTCTACATCTGTTAGAGAGAGAGAGAGAGAGAGAGAGAGAGAGAGAGAAATGAGTTCATCACTTGTGAGAACATAACTCTATTTACTCGAAAAACTAGTGATTAGTTTTGATTATTTCTCTACAATAGAGAGAGAGAGAGAGAGAGAGAGAGAGAGAGAGAGAGACGAGGAATACATGTGTGACATGAATATGCACTCAAAAGCAATGATGAAATAAGTAATAAAACAAATATCATGATAAATCTTTTTTAACTTATTTGATTTGATAAGATTTGATAACTTTTTGCGGCATTTTTCTGTCGCTTTTAAATCATCATAAAAATTATAACGGCTTTTAAATGCCATCAAATTGTTTTATTTCCCGACCAAACCGTCCAAACATTTTGTGTACATATTTTTGTATGTAATTGAAAATTTATAGCCAACGATATAGAACTGGTTTTTATCAAACTTTTATTAAATCTGTTCCTAATATCAGTTAATTAATTAGTTTTATTAAATTTAATTTTTGTTATGTGTATATCGAGCGTAAAATTATGATATTTATTGTATTCACAATACATGTAATCCGTTTGCATAGCATGTGGTTCACTATATGGAGGGTAATTGCGAGAGAGAGAGAGAGAGAGAGAGAGAGAGAGAGAGAGAGAGAGAGACTTAAACAATTTCACTTAATGGTTATATAAAATATCAAATGAAAAAAAACAATTTAATAAAACTATAATCTGTTACTTGTTTTCAAGTAAAATATCACAGAAATCCAGTTCCCATACAAACCACACAACTTATAATATTTTTCTTTATTATAACTTCTAATTTATGTCATTTAATTATTTATTAAACTAATATCCATTGCTTAAAACAGTACAATATGTATAATTTCTCCTAAAAATAAAATAAGTCTATTGAGATTAAATTGCTCATAAAATTATAGGAAAAATACAATTTACAACCGATTATTATTTTATACTTAAAATGTTTATATAATAAATGGGTTTTGAATGAAAAGTCGAACAATTGAATTGAAAAGAAATGTTTTTGAGGTCATATCACGGGTTATGCCAAACATATTGTAAATCATATATTCATAAATGACTACCGCTTTAATGGACGCTCAATAGAGACTCAATACATATAAATGTAACTCTAATCAAGAGAGAGAGAGAGAGAGAGAGAGAGAGAGAGAGAGAGAGAGACCTGTGCTCTCATTTACTCGTAAAACCATCACTGACTTATAAGTATGTATATATAAACAAGTGCATGAATAATGTGTTGCCTGATTATATAACTCTCTCTCTCTCTCTCTCTCTCTCTCTCTCTCACTCTCACTTTTACTCTCTCTCAGTCACTCTCACTCTCTATGCCCTAATCTAATAGCGAAAACACCGGTTAAGGTCAGGTCTAACGCACACTATCTCTCACTGACAGGCATTTCCTTACAAACAACACACACACCGCACGACTGCCACTAAACTAACCTCTCGTTCGCCTCATTTAAGTAATAAATTGTATATTGAATTGAATTGAAATTTTTTTTAATGCGAAGATTGAAAAGAAAGTGGAAGTAAAATGTAAAGAAATGATAGAGAAAACGGTCACTCATTTACTCACTCCCTCTCTCACACACTCTCAATACCCGCACCACTCGTACATACGTTACAATTTATTTTACATTTAAGATTTAACCCAAAAGTTTGGCAAATTTTTTTCACGTATAGTTTTATTCGTATATGACTTTTGGTTTAATTCTGGTCTAAATCGGCCAAAAAAGTAAACGTGAAATTCTTAGTGAAAGAGTAGTATTGTTTGACTTTTGTTAACAACATTTATCAATCCGACAATACATACCGGTGTTTAAACTCATAGAAAACAGTAACCAATTTTCATTGGGTTAATATTCTGTGTGTTATTATTTGGCAAATATTGTCTGCAATATTGATAATAAAGACCGATAGTAACCGATAATCCGTATTACAAATCACTTGTAATACAATTAATATTTGCAGTGATTTTATTAGTGAAGAATAACAGCAAAAAGAAAACACAATTTTCACAGAAGAAGGAGAGAGTGAAACACCAGAAGAAGTGGACGAATATATTGTGTGTTTTTCTATCATTTGTTTCGTTTTGTCATATTTTTGTTGTTTTGTTATTTGCTTATGATTTAAGTGTTTTCTCTCTCCTTCTCTTATATTGTTGTGTTTGCTATGAAATAAAATATTACATTACATTGTGTTTACCGTTGGCTTTCATCGCCCGCGTAATTGTATACAACAAATCATTTGTCAACTATTTTTACTTTCAGTAAGTAATTAATATTCCTGTATATCATATATTGCTATATATTTAATGACAGAATATTTCAACTAAAATGATTGTTTTGATATTGATTTTTTCGGTGTCAATATTTATCGTGATATTTATACCACAAATTTTATATAAAGTTTTGGTAATTATATTATTAAATGCTAAACATGTTCGCAAATAATTGCTATATATTGAGCGCAAACAGTATTTTCAGGGTTTAAATGATGTTTAACTTTGATTTTCATGAATCGCTTTAAGTGTTGTTTTTCTTGATTTTAATTATAGTCTCCTTTTATAATGTATTTTTGGATTGTATTGAGAGGTGTTTTGGAAAAAGTTTATTACATAAGTATCTGTTGTATTAAATGATATATTATATGATGACTAATAATTTTTTTACAATTTAATTCGCACCTGCATTAAAATATAAGCAGAGAGAGAGAGAGAGAGAGAGAGAGAGAGAGAACTAGTTTTACGGTCAAAAAAGCCTTTTCCTTACAGTGCGAATGTATGCCTTGTTTTGTTATAATACTGTAGCTATAGATCGGGTTTAACGATAAAATTACCAAAAAACACAATTTCTTCCGTAATGCTATTGATTACATGACATTTTATGACATTTATACCTGTATTTTAGATATCGTTTCGTTGATCACTATTATTATATCGTATTTAAATCAATACATCCATTGTTTTGTTCGTCCAATCAATCAATCGCTTTGATATGATTTTAGATTTTTTCTCAATTATTTATTAATCTGTTATCACTTTTAGAGGATTAATATATTTCTTGTATAAATAGTTAATTTTGTTTTCCCGATGAATGATCTGCTATTGTTATAAATAATGTTTATCCATAGAATCGCTTGTTTTCACGTCAATAATAGTTGATTATTATTTAAATATTTATTTTTAACTTGTATTCAATGTCTGTTTACTATTTTTGTTATGAATCATAACTTTTGAATTTAAAATAAAAAATAAACATTTAAATAAAATTTATTAGAAATATTCAAAACTAAATTTAGATTAATAAAGATTCTGAAAATAACCAATATTATCTATATGTTATTCAATATACATAGTACTTTTGTGACGTAAACTAAAGTTTTATATCTATATAAGGTATTTGTAACATATTTAAATTTGTAAAATCACATTATAAATCATTTACCATAAATTTATGTAACGTGATATAAATAAACACGATTTATATAATTATGATAATTTAATTTCTAAATTACTTTCAATTTTGATATACACTGAAATATAAAAATGTACTTAATTAAATATACACGAACATACAATATGGTTTGGTTCAAACGCTTCAAAGAATAATCAAGCTCATATAATGTATACAATCTACGATCTTCCTTCATCATATTAGAAATAATAGCAGATAAACAAAGCTCATTACATGGTTAAGAAAAATATAACTAGTTGCTTTTGTCAAACTTCAAACAAACTGGATTAATTTTTCATAGAGTATAATGTTTGGGTTATATGTTATCGGGTGGAAGCTTACATAAATTAATTTGTAGATCACAGACGTAATTAATTTAAACTATCATCTTTAAAATCTATAAATTTTTAAATTGTAAATAAAGTAAATATACGTAAAATTGGTGTCAATTTGATTCAACAGAAGGAAAAATCAATTTTAATTAACAAAAGCAAATAATTAATACACAAAAAAGTGATGCAAAAAAGTTAAAATAAAATTAATTATAAGGAATACCATAAAAACATAGGAAAAGTGAAAATTAAAACTTTGAGACCACAAATGCCAAGCAATCAAAATTGTGTCAATAAGAGAGAGCATGTCTTCCCATAAATTTGATTATGCATTAGATATGGATTAATGGGTAATAAGTATTCAACATGTTAACTATTGCCATCACAACACAACATGGTAGATTTCAATTTATTATTTTAAATGTGCTTCTTGGATTACTTGGATAACTTTCGTTCTCTATTAATTATTTATCTAAAATGTAAATACATTTTAAAAATAAATTTAATTGTTGCTTATTTTAACGTTAGTTTGTCTAGTAATTTATTGTATTTAATTTAATGCATTTTATTACACATTAGGTCTGATAACAAGTAGTTGTTTTGTTGCAAAACTTTTAATTTGCATTTTTCACTGATTTATATAATAAATTTGTTTTTGATTAAATTTATTTGCGATGAATTTTCCTTATATTTAACATAATTTTAATTTAATTTTTTTCTTACTTCACTGACCCCTTATGGAGAGGTTTTATATTACAATCGTATTTATTGTAATAAATAATAATATCTATAGTTATTATAAAATGTTTATACAATTTGTAAAATTTAATACACATTTTATTAAAAATTTATAATTGTAATTAAAATTTGCACTTTTATTAACAGATTTTAAAGTGGGAGTAAATATCGGAAGCAATTTCTATAATAATAACTTAAAATAAAACTAATTTTCAAATAAAAGTTTTAATGCAATATTTGATTTCTATTGGAAAGCAATTTATTTAAAACAAAAAATAAAAATAATTATTACTTTTGTTAAAATCTTTGCACAAAAGACCGATTCATGCATTTCTGCCACTGAATTAATGTTATAAATAAAACCATTAAAAAAATTTAATACATTTTCCAAAATTATAGTTTAAATGCAATTATTGTTTGATTAGGAGTTAAGTTTTCAACACATCTGTTGAATACAATTTGTTTTACCATTGATTTGTGCATTGATTTTCATCATTGATTGTGTGTTTGATTTTAAACATTGAATGTAATTATCATTATTTTTAAATAACAAAAAATGCAGTTTATACAAATGAAACAATGAATGTGGTGAAAAATAGTATAACGTTTTAGTTTTTTGTTCACCAAAACAATTGTATCAAAAAATAGTATCAGGCAATGATTGATGCAAAACCACAACCAAAACACTTATCAATTGAGATATAATTTATATTATGTTCAATCTGTTGATCACTAATGTATTGATAATGCATTTCAAATGGCTTTTTGTTGAGGAGAGAGAGAGAGAGAGAGA